AATAAATCTCGCCAAACTCCGTGTGACGCAGTGTAATTAATACCTGTACATAGTAACTATGTGTCGAAGCCTATCGCATGCCTTTGAAACATAATGCATGTTACAATGCTTAATAGAGCAACAAAGCAACTTATTAGTGTATGCGAAAACACATAACGCGAATCTGTATCTGTACGGTTAGCTATGAGCAATTGCTTTGGTTTAATTAACTCGCAAATTCAATTAGAACCAACACGAAGTATGCGTGCCACAGAGTAGATTGCATGCAGAGACGGCGCAGTTTATCGAGGTTGATAAATACCAGCGTAAAATTTACCTTTGTGGAATTCACTGTTCATTGTAACTTTGTAACAATATTACAATGTTAAGTCTTCAATACTAAATAAAACTAAAAGGGCTCACTAAGTTACTTCTATTTTAAACTTATCTATAATATTACTTTAATCTCACGCTTCGGCCCTCTTCCATAAAGATATAAAAAATTTACGTTTTAAGCCATTTGTAATAAAAATCTTGTGTATTAAGTTCTTTGAGGTCCTAACGCGTTACGCAGCGAAATTACCCTCCTATAAGTAGGCAACACTTTTAAAATAGGTACATTTTAATATCAATTTATTCCTAATTCCAGTACGTGGGCTATTATATATATATTCCGAAGGCAGCAACATTTTTTAAATTAAAAATATTTAAATAGTATGTTTTCTTTTAATCCTATTTTGCATTACATATATCGAATAACTTTAAAGCTCGATTGATTAGATCAGCTCCGCTTAGTGGATCAACGTTATCCAAGCGCCCCGCCAGTGTTGTCAATTTTTTTAAATCTTTATCGTAAATCTATAAGACTCGTAATAAGTAACATAACCTCGCGTAATTGTTTACTCAATGTATGCTTCTATTTTGCTTAAGGTTTAAAATATTGTAACTAATAAATTCTAGAATAGTCTAGATAGTTATCTACCCTCAGTAGTTACTAGAGCCTATACTTAATATCGTTAAATAAAAGGCAAATATATTCATGATGTGAACACAGTTCTGAATTATTTCTTATTATATATTCTTGTTCAACCTTAATGTATATCAACTCATTTTGTGGCTAATCTAGGAGAAGTTCAGTCTACACTACGTTAAGTCTAATGTAAGCCATTATTAAAGAAAAATTAAAACCAATTCAAAATCAAATGAGATAACATAGGACTTGTGAGATTTTTAAAGAATGCTATGATATTGTTAAAAAAACCCATAAATAGAATTAAATACTAAGAACTAAAGCGAAACAAATATATTACCTAAAATAATATCGGTTGCTGTATTCGAGGAATGCATACGTGCAATGCATACAACTCGCAACAATTCTGAAACAGTTTTCATCCAACGAATTCCTCTGAAATAACAAATTGAGAATTATTTTTCCATTAAATTTTTATTAGTAAGTAATTTTTCCATTTCAAAAAGGAAAATATAAATCCAATTTATCATTCAACGAATCATCCTCAGCTACCTCACTCATTAATGCCAATTTCAGATCAATGGTACACGCCTGGAATCCATAATGGCTTCACAGGAAGTAATCGCCTGTCGTCAACGAAGGGTTTCCTCAAATTAAATTCCTCGTCTTGCCCCCGGGCACTTCGTAGTGTTCCCGACACCTAAGGTGCTGACAAATTATTTATTAGCTGTAGTCGCCAGCCCAATATTAATAAAGGTTATGGCAGAAATACTTCGGAGTTTCGCCCTTAAACAATTAATATGTTAATAATTACTCGTTCTTACGAAGGGATTGAAGACGTAATTATAGAACCGTGTTTCTTTTTATATTATTTTAATTTGTTCAAAAATATTATTATATTTTGAGTGACGCGTGTAAAAAACACCGAGGAGGGTTGATTATATTAACAAAAACTTTAATTTGAATTGGAAGTATTTCCCTTGCAATAAAACGATACGATTGATAATTAAGATTTTCGTATCATTAAAAAAAATATGTAATAATGTAAACGACGTATTGTATATTAGTATCGAATCTAGTTTATACATAGAGAAAATCTCATCTATGAAATTGCAACTCGTAAAGTTTATATAGTACTAGCTGTGTCAGTGACTTCGTCTGCGTAGAATAGTTATTTTGAGCATCGACCTTGCCCACGATCCATGACGTCGCTCGCGTCCCGTCGTTCTTTCAAGTTAATCTTACAAGTTCTTTTATATTAATTATTATTGCCACAAACAGGAGGTGTATTGAATAAAATGAATGCTGAGCTAAGCTAAATATACAATTTTTTTTTAAAGTAACATATCGGCGTGTCATTCAATTCGCTTTGTTCGGAAATAAAACCAAAAATCGGACCGAAGGTGCACCGCTAACTAATGGCGTGGCATGAAACATGTCGGGATGTATTTATTATTCAGGAAAATCCACGAGCCAGGGTCACTGTAACCGAACACTATCACTCACAACTTATTAAACAAAATAATATGTGCGCACTGCAGATAGCACGTCAAGCTTAATCTAGCGAGATATTTTACACCAACTAGTATTTCCATTCAATATATAATTACTTATATGTAAGTACACATTGCTCTTTAAAAAGGAAGGTACACTCGGGTAAAATTTTATTTTACTTGTTTTCAATTTGTATATAGTGTATTCGCAGCCGGCAACGCTACTACTATTACTTGCGCGGTTGAGGAATGAGGTTCCTTTATTTTTAATACATGTTAAATTAACAAGTAAAATTTCTACTTGTTATCCCGCCATAAGAGTAATAAACACATTCTCTTTTTATTTTTTTAGTTTATAATGAATACAACAATGATCACTTTTTTAAAACAGCTTCTTATATATTGTACTAATATACCGTAAGTTGCTTTGATGTTTATTATTAACCGCAAGTCACCTGTCAAAGTTAAAAAAGGCTAATTAAAACCCACATTGCTTCATTTTATAATATTCCTTGAGGCAAGGCTCGTGTACTAAGCGGATTCTCATAAATATTAAATATTAATTGGATGTGCTTATCCGCTGAAAATATAATTCGATTGAGTGAATTAAAAATATAAATATCTGAATTAATAATGTACGAATTGGTATATACAATCTTCTCTTATTAGTATTTATGCATAAGATTGACGTAAGATAGGTACTTTCAGTTTAAGGGCTATATTTTTATAGATCTCTTGTAGCCAGAGTTATCTATGAATTTGAAGCAGTTTAGTTTTATTGTGTTTTACACAGTAATAGTTATTAGTATTTTTATTAAAGCAATAGTCAATAGATGTTAAATAAAGCGATAAACAAGTTTAAATATAATCTAATATTTATATATATTATATTCAATTTAAACATTTTATATATTGACAAGCAAGTCAACTGGAATAAAGTTTTCGCAGCCGACTGTACACATAACTTTGCTAACACGGCTTTCGCATTTTTAGGTTAAACAAAAATTGTGCCCAAGTGAAGATTCATTATCTGTAGTCTTTTGTTTTTGTTGTTCTTTGGTGACTGTCATTAAACGGATGACGAAGGACATTTTATCGTGACCTTTTGAATTTCATAATTGGCAATTACTCCCTTATAACACTAATTACTACATCGTATCGGCGAGACCGGGGCGTCCTTTATATTGTGGGGACAATTTTAATTCGCGTACCTATTAACATAGTATCTTTGTAATATATGGTTTGAACTGAAAAATAAAAGAATAATAAACTTTCGTTCTTTCAATACTTATATGGAAAATATGTACAAATTAAAAAAAAAAGTGATAATATTATCTGTTGAGCTTTTATAGTTAGAGATAGGCTCGTTGATGGTAGCAATGTACGTATTATAATCAAGGGGTCGTGCGTTTGATCCCCAGTCTCGTTAAACATTGTTTTATATTTTTCTGAAATATGTTGGACTTTGTCTGGAAATCTAATTATTAAATAGTTGGTCGGAATATCAAAATTCCGTCCGTGTCACAAACCGCCATCCACAGACGATAAAGGGGTATTTTACCTACCACCAAGTACACCACTCGCTTGTCTGTCTTTCTCTAAAAAAAACCTCAACACAATTTATTATTCATGTTAAGAGAACATAGTACGGACGACAAGACCTATTTAAGCCAAAAATTATTACGCCTCAGTGAGGCACGTCTTGGCCGTACAAGATAGAGCCATCGCAGTTAGTTCGTGCTGCCTAGACTCTAATGTAATTAAGTGGTGTTTAAGTTAGTACGGAGTGAATTTATTAATATTATTTTAAAATTTCTCAGACCTAACTGTAGCTCATTTTAATATATTAAGAATTCAGAGGTTTTATCAGGATATTATATAGTTTTAATCACTTCCTAATGGATATGAAAGTTTTATGCCAGTATATAAAGTACTAGGGAGTATTCTTCTTGTAGTCATTTACTACGTTCAGCTATTTTAATTTTGATTAGAGAACTTGATAGCTATATTTGGCAGCTTGGTGTAGCAATAGTATGGTGTAACTAATTGTATCTTTTATGAACATAAAAATAACTTCAAAGAGACAAAAAAAATTACTTCGCCCAAAGCACTACGTATTTTAATCTAGTTTCATAGAAATATGATACCTTGAAAATGTCTACTTCTAACAAAAAAATCAACAAAAACAAGTACATAAACTACGAAGTTATGTCCGAACAAACAAAAAAACATATATTATGAATCGAATTGATAACATACTTTTTTTTGAAGTCGGTTAATTATGGTTCGATTTTAGTCTGTGTTTCTGATAACGCATCTTAAGTAAAACTTACTTAAGATATTCCTTCCATCGTGTGAACCCATGCTAGCCTGTTTTCTGTCATAAAACAACATGAAAGAGAATTGAGGCGTGAAAGCACTAGATGCTTTTTAAAGGCGTGTCTGTGTAAGCTTGATTGAACGTTTATAATACAATATAAACAATACACTACGCCGTCTGGGCCGCTGAGATAAGATAACACTGATCGATGTTCCGCACTTAAGCCAGCTTACAAATAATGACTCTAGTCTGGAGCGAGCTGGCTCAGAGCTTTGCTTCGACGCTGATCTTTTGTCTGTAAGAAATAACAGATCGCGTTAAAGGTTCTTAAAAACACGAGGGTGTAGCTTAATTAATCTTCAACGGGTAATGATGTGTTTTGAATTCAAAACTTAAGGATTTTTTTAAATCTACTTATATTGGAAAAAAAATTACGACACGGCCGGGTCTCAAACCTGCATCTACATTTGTTCAATCCAATTGTTTCAATCTCAAATCAAAAATAAAGTAATTTTGAATTTTTAAAACTAACACTATAAATGCTTTCTGACAATCGATCGTTACTTTTTTTGTCACACTGGATTTGTTAATGCAATTTTAAATTACTGTATGAAAATTGTCCATTCGGTTAGAGTTCAGATTTTAGATTTTATAATGTAGGTAGCCCAAACAATAAAGACGTTTATTGTTTACTAAAAGTGTGTTCTTAATTTGAAAGCGCCTTTTATATACGACACACAATTTACGTGTTATAAACATTTATGATTAACAATCTTAACCCTCACTAGAGGTTTATATGAAGAGTCCCATAATTGGTCTCTCTTTGTCTTAATGAAAGTTGAGTAGTTCTCCCGTTTTCAAAGAATAAAACAATAATTCCCTATTTACTGTGGTCAGAAAGGCAATATTGCTCACTTTAATATTTATTGTCGGCGTATGGTTTGCTATTTGAACTAATGTTTGCTTATTGTTTGAAATAAGTTAAAATCGTAAAATGGTAGAATAACTATAACCTATTAAAGTCATATGTATTTATTGTATTAATATTTTTAGTAAAGTCTTATGCTGTATTAGATGTCCTATTTATTGGTGTTTTACACCAATAAAATTAAAGAAAAAGAAACTTTTTGCTTGCAGCAAAGCATCCGAAACGTCGGACCGTTATTAAATAGATTGTAAATAAAATGCTGTCTGTATTTCACGCGAGTAGTACACACTTAAATAAAACACATTAAATGTTGAAACGCAAAGTTAAGAACTATGAACTAAGAAAAACATAGATACCTATTACTTTTTAAACTTCGGGCCGTAGCTTAAAAATATGTTTTTAAATAAATCTTATTTGAAAATATTTTAACTACTACCCCGACGTTTCGGACGCTTTCAGCCTTAAATTTTTAAATAATCTATATATTACATATTTCGCGTTTTAAACCGTTAAAGTGTTTTATTTAAATTGTGAATAAGTTTAACTAATTTATTACGCGATTCAAACCATTACAAGTGTTTTTTAAAAGTGTTCAACTTTTTCTTCACTTTTGAAATTCCAATATTATGCGACATGTTTCATGTCAGTTAATCTGTGTAGCACGTTGCATATGACAAGACGTTCTTTTTTTAAAATCCCAATATCGCCGACTGAATGGAGCTCATAAGCTTTTGTATGTTGTTCCTTTTGTCACGTGGCAAATCAGGTTCACGAATGCTATGACGTAGGTGATATGCCACCGCCATCCACGTAACGGATTCTAAATTGCTTTGATCGTTTTTCCGGAAGGCTAATGAATCCTCTCGTTCCAATGAACCTCACGGGTCAGCGACGAAGCGACCCTATGTATTAACCTCACGATCAGATCGTGTTGACGGAATCGTTGGTCTAATGGTAGCAATGAATGGCTGATGATCAGGGGGTGTGGGTTCGATCCCCACCAGACCCAACATGTTTCTAATTTTTCAATTTATAATTTTTCTGAAACATGCTGGACTTCTGGATATTAAATGGGCGTCCGTGGGGAATACCGTCCGGGTCACGAACCGTCCACAGATGACAAAGCCGTGAAGCCTAATCGCGTTCGATTTTAGTCTGTGGATTTCCGAATATCTTAAGCCAAAATAGGTCGATAGCGCATCTTGTTGGGATACCATCAAGTGATCCCTATACCATGTCTGTCCTCTTCTATAATTAAAAAAAACACTTAATAAAAACTCGAATTTCGAATGGAAAACCTAGATTGACTATAAGTAATGGCGCTCGGATGAAATTATTAAGAGATTTCAAATTTTACTTCGAAGTTCTGAACCATAACAGTCATTTTAATATAACCACTTCGTTGCGTCGGAATTGTTTTAAAAGGTACTAAAGGGACTGTTTAAAATAGAGCTAATCCCTTCGCTTCAGTCTCTAGAGAACGGGGTGCTAAATTGAATTTTCTTTTACACATTTCACACTTCAATGTGCGAGAAATGTAGCTGACAAGACTTACTTTATCTGAATGACGTGAATTTTGAATAAAACTATCGAAGTTTTACCTGAATTGATATTGCAGAAGACATTTGCTCTACCAAATTAGCATAGACAGTATATCATATGTTCTTTTTCTTTTAAATTATATTGCATCTCTAATTTCGCGTTTCGTGAATCTAATCACTTGTTAACCATAAATTGAGTTTAATGATTCTAATTGGTATTAAGGAATCTTATAGCAGCTTTGTATTTTAATCACTTTTAAACCATAGCAATAGTGTAATTTTAGTGATAAAAGAATATCATTTCTTTAAAAATCTTCAAACCTTTTCATCTCCTACTCTCCTAATTGTCCGAAACGTTGTTTAAAGACAACATAATTCGTCTCCAAACAACTGACGTGTAACAGCGAGCTCAATTTGCCTCAACAACTGACGTTCCAAACTATTTCAGGTCTAATTCAATCTAATAGTTACGGTCTAAACTATGTCTCAGAAACTGTCGACTTTACCCCAACAGCAAACTTGAGGTTTCCGCGTTCTGCATTCTATATAGTTGAGTGATAATAAGGTGTGGAATATCGATCAGATGCCACTAAGCCAAGTTTCAGTATAACTTTTAGCGGTATTTAAATCAATCTGGAAGGTTATTCATGAATTCACAGACGTGGATCAGGTCGATAAGTTTCCGTCTTTCACGGCTGATGCGACAGGCGATCGGCCAAAGGTTGCTAGAAAACGTCAGAATATTAAGCAAAGGCAGAAAAATATTATATGAAGTTTTAAAATAGATATTATAAAGATAAAATAGGATACTGTCTGAAGTTTACGCGAGTAGTACACATTTAAATTAAAACACTTTAGCGGTTTACCTTAACGCGAAATATGTTAGTTAAGCTTATTTGATAATTTTTTAACTACTGCCCGACGTTTCGGATGCTTTGCCGTGGTCACGTGGTTACGAAACGTCGGGCCGTAGTTTAACAAGTTAGTACGTAAGTTATTTTCTCTTTTCGGTTTAAAGACATTTATTTCCCACTAAGATTACAAGAATCACTTATATGAGAAAATTATTTATTAAATATATACATTTTTACTATTCATCACGCGGGTAGTTTATAATAAAATCTTAACAAAACTATAATTATAGCCGACGCAATAACATCGTGCCGATAAGAAACGAGTTTCAACCTCACTAAGCCGGTGGTCCAAGTGACAAACGCGATTAAAATTTTAAAAATAATATCTGTAATTTAAAAATCATCTTTTTATATGTTTTTCTTTCTGTAGTATGGGTTATAAATAATAAAGCTATAATAAATAAGTTAAGTCATATATTTTACGTTTGAAAGCTCTAAAGTGTGTAATTTAAAAGATTGAAATAAATCCGTTTTGTCTAATTTTTATTTAATGTTTTGTTTCGCCTTTGAATGTCAAACAGCTATTTTGCAATGAATGAGCCAACAGGGTGACATATGAGCTGAACAGTTAAATTTTTTACTAAATATAAATAAACGAGACAAATATCTTATAAAGGTATTGAAAAGTTTTAGGTTACGTTGAGTGTAGAATCGATTCATCGGATTCGAATCTATTCAAGCAATTTCTATATAGTGGTCTATACTTGCACAGCCATCAGAACTTCAGACTATCAGACCTTGCTACGCAGCAACGATTTCAAATTAAAATATTTTTTGAACCGTGAAAAACTTTTAACAGTGCTATCGGTGTCTGAGTAGCTATGTATAATATTTTTGTACAGTAAATTTTTGATTTCATTTGAAATCAAAAATAATAATATAATATTAATAATCATTATAAGCAATAATACTAATATTTTATGATAAGATTGATGCACCTTTTACCCACCATTTTTTCTTTTTCTCATTTCTTTTGCTGATTCTCTCAATTGCATGTATCAGGTATCTGGCACAACCACGAGAATACGGTCGCAATGAGTTCGTGTCGCGGCCGATAGTATTGCGCGCGCCCGCGCAGGCTCCCCTCCCCACCGCACCCTCGCCCTGCAGCAATGGGGCGGGAAAAGAAGTCTCCGCACAAAACTGACTCCCAGAAATGTAAGTACTGTTTAATTTTATGTCAGTCAAATACTATAAAACACTGCGACAAACACTAGAAATATTTAGTGGCGGACACTTTTTCAAATAATTCAAACAGGAATGATTATTTTCTGTAGTTATCTTGAACTGTTTTCCCGTTAACCGTTTTTTTTCCATATTGCGTTAATTTGTAGCCTGAAATCTTCTTCGATGTATGCTCTAACCAATCCAAAAATAATTTTTAAATACAAACAAACTCTTTAGCCTTATATATTAGTATACTATAACAGCAAAAATAACACTCAAAGATTTAAAAACCGTATTTTGTACCTATGTACAAGTGAATGGTTCTTCGAAATCAACACTGCTCTAAGCTAACACAAGTATTAGATCACACGTTATTATTCCGCTCTGTTCAGGCATTTCTGGCAATATCCTCCTGAAACTCAAGCTGCATTTACCCTGGCGAAATTGAAATGCGTCACGTTGTACAGAAAGTTGATTAAAGCCAATCTGAAATGCTTCTGTACAAGTGAAGTTTCGGAGCGTGAAATAGATCTTTACAAATGCGACGAAGATTATCTTGCGTTGAGCTGGTGCCGCCAACCTGCGGCCTTATTCGACTTTATACAAGAATGCCTTCAGACGCTCAACTTTCCCCTTATTTCCCAGTTTGAAAAAGCGATGCGGAAATATGCTCTTTTGCTTAAGTAACTCTATTGTAACTAAAAGGTGTTATCGAGTTTCTTTGCAAACCAATTAGGTACATTGAAGTAAGATCCTGTGGGGTATTTATCTTGTCGTTTCACGGATTTTATTTGCAAACAAGTAATTGTGTTAGTTGAAAGGGGCCTTTCTATAACCGGGCGCAGAAGCCAAATATATAATATTAATGAATAAACAATAATAACAAATATTTTTAGAAGAACAGTCAATACGAAATATATGGGCATTTGTTTGACAAGTTGGTTTTATTTAAAAATTTATCAATGAATGACTAATAATTAACGGGTCAAGGGTTGGACCCCATTGGGTCCAAAATTTTTCTAATAAATTTCTAAGGAATTGGTTAGGGAAATGGGTGGTAGGAATGTCGAAATTCCGTCTGGGCCACGAACCCCCGTCCACAAAAAACCACCAAGTTTAATTGCATTTCTGTTTCATGTTGTTATATAGCTGGATAATATTACCTACCATCAAGTGAGTCCTACTCTTCTCTATCATAAAAAATAATAATATCATAGACTAGACAATCCTCGATTAACTTTAAAGCCCGCTAAGAAAATATTGTTAACCTATAGCCTTTGGTAAATAAACTGCACATTGCACGCCTGGCTACAGTTTAAACTCTCATTTCAATATCGATTGGTCGAAGTACTGAATGCATCGGATTATCGTACTAATAGACTCTGAACCTGATTTATTGTTCTGGACCACTTATCAGTTTACATATATCGGTAAAATTTTGGGTGCATTTGAATGGAAGAACGCTTATGTTACATATTACATCCGCGAGGAGTTTTGAGCATTATAATATTATTTATTTGTAAACAAGTAGACACTTTTATATATATTAGATATCTTAGTTAAACCAATTTGGCATTGATTTTTACTTCGGCCCGACGTCTCGGTTGTTTTTAGCAGCCGTGGTCACGGGGAGACGGAGGGGTCTTAGTTAATCTTTAACTAATATATCACATTATAACCGAGGTATTTAAATGATTATAATATTATTTATTTTTGCAAAGAAACTTTTTTATATCATTTATAGCTGTTAGCAATGGCATTCTTCGCGGTCTCGTTGTTTTTAGCAAGTTAATCTTTTAGTTTTTTTAATGGTTTTTGCCCGTTTTTCCCTTTATTTCTTCGCTCCTACTGATCGCAAGGTTGACGTTTTATAGATTAAAGACTTCGTCGATAAATAGCCCAACAACGATAAGAATTACAATTTTTTAGTTCTTGGGATAAGCGCGTTTAAGCAAACAAAAAAACTAGATATAGGAAGAGGATTCAAATACTTTCAAACAATTTCAATCAAACTTCTTCCTAATACAGCTTATTTATTGTGAGTTAAAGATTGCATGCTATTTGACAGATCCAGAATTTCGAGGACTAAGAATGAAACATAATATAAAAATTCCTATTCCCTTTAATTTCGCTGTATTTGGGTAAAAATAAAGTTACTTCGCAACTAGATCATAAACATCAGTGGAACGGCGTGTGATCGCATTGTAATCACACAGATAACCAAATAAATCACGCCCCGAAAAATTGGAAACGATTTTCCGAATCTGTATTTATTTTTCAAAATGTGTAGCCATTGTGCAAAAATGATCAGGCGGGCTTATCTGTATTATAATAAGATGCTTTCCTATTGAGCTGGGATAAGTGGCCGCTGGTTTTGAATTGTTTGAATACGGAAAGGCTTTTCCTATAAAAGCCTTTGCTATCGTAGTCAAAACTATCACGAAACTTGCTTATTTCTGCTATTTTACGAAATTTGAATAGTAAACAAATATTGCATTTTATATAAATGTGATACAGTATGTTTATACTCCCTTGGTAATAAAAACTACTTAAAAATAACATTGCTGCGCGTAAAAAGAACCATTTTTTATTACAATTATATATTTCGTAATTGTGACAATATAAGTAACATAAAAAGTGTCCGTTAGTAATACGCCTATTACATATATAAATAAAACACTAAACATCTCCCTGTGACCACGGCTGCTTCAAAGCAAACAAAACATCGGGCCGCAGTTAAGATAATTTAAAACCGTTAGTGTTTTATTTAAATATAAAAGTATTAATAACATTCATATTCATAACTAATAATACTTAAGAACAAAGCTAGACATTCTCAAAATATGTGTCCCTTTTTTCTTTGTGCTTAGTTATAAAGAAAGAAAATGTTTCGGAAGTCCGATTACACAACAATCAGTCAGACAGACGTATAAGTCAGAAGAAGACACAACAATTACTAGAGACATTATTCGATATATGCAGTTACAGTACACAAATAGGGCAAACAGTAATTTACATAGCTTATTTAAAAAAATCAGTCTAGGACTATTTATATGCAGGAATCCGCTAACCTCCAAAGAAATAAATATGTAAGGGAATATTGCGTGTCTGTCTGTAACGTGATGTTCCATCAACGTCGCCAATCAGGCCCATATACTCGACAAGTTTTCTCTTTAAAACGCTACATTTCCCGTATCGGGTTTCTGATAGGACAGGATAAGTGCCTTCATTACACGGGAATAGTGTCGGCACTATCGATGTACACCTAGTACAACTTTCTTAGTAGGCGAATACATATAAAATCTTATTGCATCCACGACTTTGTAAGGCGATATATTAGATGGTTGAAAGCAAATTGAAATAACAATAACTATAGTTTTATTGTTAGGAATGCCATGTAGCAATGGTACTTAAAGGTAGATAGCTAGAAGTTAGTAAGTTCGATTACTGCGTCCTGAAAATTAATGCCCTTTTGCAAAAATTTCAGTGTTCATGAATAGCTAAGGGACACGAAAAGCAATACATTTTATTATTTTTAAATTTTATGGCTATTACTCTAATGGTCGTAGGTTTGCTTAGATAAAAGCAAGCAGGAAGTCTGTAATTACTGAAATATTCTTTTTTTATTATTTTAAAAAGTAAAGGAAAATTGACAATGCTCGTTATTGGCTATCCATTTGTATTTTATCATACATCTTTTTTGAATACACTCGTTCATTCGATTGTGCCTTATCCGATACACGAGTAGGAAAAAATAATCTTCGGAAATCACGCGACGGAATGAGCCTTTGAGCGGATTACTGATGAGAAATTTCAAAAGAGATTAATAAAGTTTGATCAAATAATTTGTTCATAGTACTCCGCCGAAATAGGATTCCGGAGTTATTACTGTTTTCGGGGATAATCTATATGTAAAGTTTCTCTACTCTTTCGTTACATTAGAGATTATGAGAGCTTATTTGCCCTGGATTATTTATTGTGTTATTTTAAAGGTCAAATACTGTCTATAGTTTTTGCGATTAGTACACATTTAAATAAAACACTTTAAACTAACTAATATATCGCGTTTCAAACCGTTAAAGTGTATTATTGAAATATTTCATCATCAATAAAACGGTTCGCAAAAGGACTGATTACAATTCTAGTATGCATGTTACGAAATTATAAAGACCCTGCCAATAGGAGACAACTTCGATTAATGTTTACGTATATTTAGTTGTAACAAACATATTTTTAAGAGAACAGAAGATTATACTATTATTATTCTATAGGCAGTTTGTTTTTTTCGAAATAACTCAACGATTTCTGATGAAATTATTTCAATCGGTTTTTAATTTAAAGTTGAATATAAAAAACTTTCAAGTCATATTCCTCCCTAAAACACACAAAGGATAGGTCCTACAAAGCATCCGAAACGTTGGACTTAAAATAAACTATAATAGTTAAATGCGTACTATTCACGTAAACTGGAAACAATACCTATAAAATCTTCTTGTGAGTTTAAAAGTAGGTGTCGTATATGATTAATTATGTAAGTAAACGAAGTTATTAAAATTTCAAACGCAATTGCTAATTATAATAGGCTGAAATTTGAGTGTTTGCCGCCAATTTAGCGACAAAGGACTCAAGTGATGTCTACATCTCATGTCAAACTCACGAACCGGTGTTTAAATCATCTACGGATTATTTTAGGGAAAATGTACATAACTCGTATATGAAAATTATATATTTTGTTTCGCTTTTAATCACATTCATTTGTTTTTAAAAATGCGGTGTATTGTAATTGAAAAATGAAATTTAACGGATTAAAACGCGTTATCTCATTAATTGCGGTATTTCTACGCAGCTGTAGCTAAAGGGTGAAAATGTTTAATAGGTATGTCTGTAGCACATGTATCTATATGATTGATAAATAGGTTTTTTTCTTTATATCATATTCTCCAAAAGTTTTGACGATTGTTCGATCTCGTTGTTTCGATTCCACCGGGTCCGGCCTGTTTCTAAGTCAATTTAGAATCTTCTGGAACATGTTCGACTCAGTCTGGAAAATCTGAACATTAAACTGGCAGCAAGAATATTCAGATTCTGTCTGGGTGAACGACGTCCACAGATGGAACAGCCTCGATGTGCAAATCCGCGTGTCGGTTTCAGTCTGTAGTTTTTTAAATATTTAACGCCATAATAGATGGTTAGCACAACTAGGTTCCTATGTAACTAGGTTAAAAGAAAAGATAAAAATCCCATTAAGACTAACATGGGATTTACTTAATTCGAACACTAGTCTATCTCATAAATATCTAAAACGCAGATTCGAATGCGAAAGCCATACGATGTCTCGATAAACCGTCGAGAATTAGCGCTAGCTCCCGAACATTATTAGCAGCATAATGTTGAAGCGGTTCCAATCGATAGTACAATTGGGCCAATTTGGCTTCACTCGGCAGACACGAGCTGCGAATGTTCCCGTGGGGATGAACCGTGAAGTTCTCAGCCAGTGCTCAGCAATAACCGGCATTATAGTACTCAGAAGTGCGTGACTGGCTGATTGATTGGCCCACTGACGTATAGACTTAGCTTAAAATAGTTCGTACTAGTAATATAATGCGAAAGAGTTTGTTCGTTTCAATGCAGTCAGGAATTACTAGTTCGAATTGAAAAATTGTTTTTGTGTTTCGGGGAAATCTTAGGCCATAAAAGAAGATACTTCAACCGACGCCGTGGGTAACAGAAACTATAATTTATAAAATCGAATGTAGTTCCTGAGATTAGCGCGTTCAAACGTACAAACTCTACAGCTTTATAATAATGGTATAGATACATTTTAATCTTTCAAAAAAACACTTAGTCAATATGGCTAACAATCTTATATAAAGCAGGAAAAGTCTCATAAGAAAAGAACGCTAAAGTGCCTCCATTTGTTCGGTAGCTGTGACTCAAGAAAGTTAGTCGTTAGAAGGCGTGAACACGGGGCTTAAAAAGTTAAATTCTAAAGCACGTTTGAATCCTCCTCTGCTGCATAAGTAGGGAGGAAGGTGTCCGTGCATTAATGAGCAACTTCTTTGGCAAAAATGTACAATTTTAATATACGATCTTGTATAAGCCACATTTGGACAAACCTATCTCCCTCCTATGTATGTATACCCTCTCTATATATGTTTTGATTATTTTTATGACGAAAAAGGGGACAGACAAAAGGGGGAGGACATCCGGAAATCTACAGACTGAAATAGAAACGCGATAAATCTTCACGGCTTTTTCATATTTGGACAGCGGTTCGTGACCCGGACGGAATTTTATTATATTCCTACCACCCATTCAATATCAGAGTTTTTATGTTTTTAAAATTACAACACAAAATTACATTTCTTAAAACTATTTTCTTTTATTGCTCGCCAATACAATTTTCGGTAAAACGAGAACCCTCTTAATAAAAATGTAGGTTTGAGATCAAACCCTACTCTTTAAATCAACTATGTAGGGCGACTTGGGTTTTTTTATTCCCTTTACTATGCAGGTAGTAGGTGAAATTTTGGTGTTTTTTGATTTCAATTGTTCCGCTTACCAATTGGAAAAATCGACTCTCTCGAGGATTTTTGGCTGGTCAAACAATAGTGGGCCCTTCCATAGTTACAGATGTAGTTTCTCAGAGAGTAATTTTCCAATTGCCAATTGATAAAAATAATGGGATTTATTTTTTTGAACTAGTTTCTGAGATTAGTGCGTTCAAACAAACAAACACTTGAGCTATTAATAATATTATATATTAGTATAGATATGTCTTTTGCACCAGTTTTATAACGTTCAAGAGCCAATGATTTTGAAACAAGAATTGCCTGTTATATGTAATTAATTTCCAGAATACTATAAATAACTAAACATCAGTTCCTATGTACGAGTATATTGTTTTGATTTGTGTAATTATTGTAAAAGATTTTCCTGTTCATTAAAACAATAGGGTTACCTCCCGATAAGAGCATAGGTCATTGGTTATTATCATACACAGTGGTGTATGATGATAACCAATGTATGTGTTGTTTGCAAAATTTCTGTAGAAACTTTTTTTAAATGCTTTTATCCCGCTGATCTATCAACTCTTGTGGGTTTGACTCCCGCTAGTGTCATTGAATTTGTTATCTTAAATGATTAATTTATCATCTCTACCAATAATATTTTTTTTTTTCGTTTTTTTTGCAACTTTACATAAAGGATAATAAAACAAACAGACAAGATCATCTTTGAACTTCTTTTATTAAAATAACATGATGTATGAATGTAGTTTTATAATATTTATTAAGAGTACAAAAGATTATGTAGTTACCTACATTACTATAGACTTCAAGTAAATAAAATAAAACAGTAGTTTATCTTTTGCTTGTATTGCAAAAGCTCGCTTTTGCTACACTGGTTTAACACAATATTTTCGTTAACATGTTACCGACAACATTATTTTTCGGTTTATTGAGACTGACTAAGTTTCGACTGAAAATCAGTACTAAAAGCGTGATAGCATTATGAAGTAGCTTATTATAAGCTGATGAAGAACCCCTGATCTATTTTGACAATTCGCTATTCATTTGTTTTAATTAGGGATATTTTGTGCCATTTTGATAACTTTAGTATTTTTCACATATTATTGTGCATGGTGGCATTATATAAATTAAAAGTCGATTTTAGATTAATAAAATTTAAGACACGGTCAGGACGGGAACTGACATCCACAGCGTTCCAGGCCATACACGTCGTCGTCAAATTTTTTCAACCTTTTTTTTTTTGCATCTCTCGCTTTAAGGTAAACTTAGAATATACACTGTGCAAAACTGCACGAAATGTTGTGGATGCTGTGTCATAAAATTGTTTAATTTAAAATTGATATTTAATTTGTTGTGTGTCATTGAAGCGACACAAATAATACTTTTTATGTTGTAAAAACTTTGTCATACTGGTGGTAAAAGGCTGTGGCAGCTCTTAATGCGTCGTATATAAACTTATCATCACAGGGATTGTCGTCAAAGAAGTAAGCACCACAGTTCAGCAATACTGAACAATTTTCATTTATCACTTTATTCTCGTCGCAGCACCCGAGTATTGCTCTTGCGCACGGTGATAGAGCCTTTGGTGGTTTAGTGCGATCGCCATTTCTGGTTTTCAATATATACAGTAGTTCATTGTACGATAAATTTGGCTTCGTCTCACGTGGAACCGCTGCTTCTTGTGAATCCTTGAAGGTTAATGCGCCAGCGTTGGCGATTTGAATGAATAGGTATAATGTAATACAAGTCGATACCCACATTTTTTCTGGAAAAAAGAATTGTTTAACAATATTACAATAGTAATCCAGTAGCTAAAGTTCCTTTTCTTACTTGAGAAGTTCAGACAGTTATACTATAGAATAGGCAACACAGCTACATACAGGTACAAATATTTTTTCTATAGAAAAAATAAAGAAAATTTAGGTCTTATAATATATAAATATTTTATATTATTAATTGACCGCCTCTGTAGCAAAATGGTTAAACGTATTACCTAGCATTGTGTTAAGTGCGAGAGGTCTTGGGTTCGAACCCCAGCGAAACAAAAAATTGTTTCGGTCAGCCAGGGCACAGAAGTCTAATCAACTACTTGCCTGTTAAAGAAAGCATCAGTGAAACGGACACAGAAATGTGTTCACCCCATGCCCCACAAGGGGGAAACGAGATTTCACACACACTCATTATTTGTATCAATAGGAGGATACATTTTTCTAAAATTTTAACGGATGTTTTTATTAATTACATTTTAAATACGTTATAAAAATTCCTGAGATACTCGATGCAACATTTAGACACAAACTTTCACCCCTTTTGGGTCAATCAACTCTTCAACTTTCTTAAATTAAATTACCTGATGCAAAAATCTTAGCAATGCGCAGTAAACTTGATTGAATTAACTAAAATTGCCGATTTAATTATAAATCAACTCACTGGCGTGCTCTCTACCGTGTAATTATAATATAACTATGATTTGACGTGTAAACAGCTTAAATAATTGTCAGAACTAATCAAACATGGTTATATTTACTACGGCCGTGAGTCAATGATATTTAGATTCTGGTTTTTCCGTGTTCGAGGACAATATAAGTTTAACACCGCATGATGGATACAGATTGGCTCGAATAAATTCTCGACCTACTTTCTAACATTCAAAACAAATCATTTACAATTACTGTGTTTTGGTTTTATATTCGAATTATAGAATAATTAACATATCACTTTGTACAGACTAATTAATATGAATATTTAAATTATTAACTTTTCTCTCTAATTTTCTTAACATATTTTTTTTATTACCTTCTTAATATATCACATCACTAGTTATCAGGCAATTGCGTATAACTGTTATTTCACACACTATCGTATCACTTTGTCTTAAACAAGTATTATATTACAAAAGTAGCACATCCTTGAATATATAAAGGTTTTGTATATTTTTAACTGTATTTTAAATTTCTTTCACGTCTGCTAAGGTAACCGTTCGCAACCAGATTGAGAATCATCGGATATCCTCGAAAAGAAACGTAAGCGTTTTATAAAACACACCATATGTTTTTTGCTTCTGACGTAGGTCCGTAATTCTTGGGATATTATTGGAAAATATGGCAATTCAAACTTGTGATCAATGTGTTAATTTACATACTCGCGCATAGTCATACTAGTTAGGCAGTTTCAGTGTATGTATGTATTTGTTATTTTAGTTTTACTTTGCTGAATTCTAAGGATTTGCTTAGAAGGAATTGATGGTCATTTTTACCAGTTTTCTATGTAAGAACCAAAAGATGTCGCTTTACTAAAATAATCCTAATAAACTTTTTTTATTAAATGTGGTCTTAGATCTAGTCTATGATATTATAAAGTTAATTACACCTATATGTCAATATTAGATGCGGGTAACGTGTAAAAATTATTGTAATTAATTTAAATCAATACGCGCAATGTTTTAATTGTGTTGAGGGGTTTTCCAATCGACAGAGCAAAGTTTATCTGCTAAGGAACTTTAACAGTGAATTTTATTACGTAAAATCTATGAAAGAAAAAAACAAAAAAGTACAAACACATTTATAAATACATATATTTAATCACGATATTTAAACTAGTAAGGCATTCAAGAATATGTGGAATATAAAAATGAGTGTCGAAAGTAAATTTGAAACAACAAACTGTCAATTACTAATTAAATGTTCTTTGTATATGCTAAATAAAAATATCCCACGTTGTAAGTAAATTTGTGTAGTTCAAAATGAAAAAACTTATATTTGTACTTAGCTGTATTCTGTACATTTTATTAATCAAAGGCACCAAATATAATATTAATTTACACACCTTAAATTATTAAAATCATAAACACATCTAATAATACTATTGCAATATACTATTGCAATATAGTATGCAATATTGCAATCAAGTAATGTTTAATAAAAAAATCTAATGTTTTTAATTAAAAATTGTGTTCTAAATGATTACTATAAGTTAGATACACATCTTTAAAAAATAAGAAAATTTAGCTTATTATTTAGCGTCTTAAACATATCTTAAAGCCGTATAATATTCTAAATGTGTAGGAACAAGTTATGACACATAAAAATCCTAAACAAAACATAAATTATGGTGTTTGATAAAATATAAGAATAATTTATATAGTTAATAAATTTGTGTACTTTTAAGGCATTTTTTCTGTTAATTAGGTCGGAAAAATATTATTCTGTTTATACATTTGTACGGTTACAATTTTAACACTTTTAAACTTAAATACCAAATTAGACATTAATATTATACGAGTATATACATACATTATACTAGCAACTAATATATGTAGTACCTAACAAAAGAAAAATCATGTATGTATACAGTAATTTTTCAATATGTAAACTTTTACATAAATATGGAACTAACACGATTTGAAATGCATCTAAGAGTATTGCGAAGTATTAATTGGCATACGTATACCTAATAAACGAAAATATTAATCATTAACTGCCAATTCTTTTCCTATATTCGTTTTCAAGCTTTTTCAAAGCTGGCAACATATTCTGTGGCAAACAAGCATTTCTGTAAAACTCTGAATCACTGCACCCCTGTAGTCTGAAACACGTGAAGTTCACTCTGGGTTGGTGACAACAAGAAATTGCCGCCCTTTCACAGACGGTCGGAGGTTCCGGCGCGACCACTTTTTCTTCTTCTGTCGGATAGCCGGCTGGTGCTGCCAATGGCTTTTCAGGTTCCAGCCCAGCTTGTACGCTACCATGTTCCAACGGTGGTACCGGTCGACTTAAGGGTCCATCTAGCTTAACTGGTTTGAACGAGATTTCCCTCTCACCATCATCTTTGTAGTCCTCGCCATCGTTTCCATCTGGCATATCATCAACATCAAAAACCCTGTCGGGAAAATCTGGCACAGTTTTGTTGGTGCCTGGGCGTTTCGTGTTATCCATTGGTTTCTTGTTTGGGGTTTTATCGTTCATTGGAGTTGGCTTGTCATTCGTTGCTTGGTTACCGGATCCACACTCACAAGTCACTTTCGGAACATATATGAACGGTACAAAGGTTGGGTAAGGTACTGGAACGGGTGGCGGTGGCAAGTAACTGCGATCTATAGTAGCGCTGGCGATCTGGTCTAGTTTACTCAGTATTAAATCAAAGGGATCTTGCGTTCCAAAATTTCCAAAGCTCTGGGCTGGGTGCCTTTTGCTGATACTTTGACGGAACGGTGTTGGATATTGTGGATTAATAAAATCGTTGCTATAATCGAAGTAGTTGTAGAATCTCTTTTCTCTCTGGCCGGGTTTTGGCTCATCGTTAAGACTTTCTGCTACTCCATATTGTTTATCTTTTTCGGATAAGTCAGCAGAAACGCTTTCGCTTAGAATGGATTCTAGCGGTACTGCATGTGAAACGGTACTTAATAGTACCCATCCCATCAGGAAACACACCTTTAGCACCATCTGAAACCAAATAAGGCTTGACTATAATTAACATTCTTTGCAGCGGTTTTCTTCTCCTATTTAAGGAGGATGATAAAGATGTTGCAATTATGCATATTTTAATATTGTAATGAACTGATATAAATAGAAAACGCGATTTTTTTATATCCACTTTACCAGGCGACTGCACGAAATTGTTGTGTAGGATTGATGTGTCACAGAATAAAACAATAAGAGTTCAGTGACATTATTTTGTCTCAGTATGATGACAACTTGGACAGCACTTTTATTTATATAAGTTAGTTTATAATGACTAGAACAGCCACATTCAACTGGACACTGGCAAATAGTTCATTCTTCTTGCCACAAATGGAAAATGGAAAAAGAATCGCCATTTAATTTTAGGTGCAAATGTTTTAAATCGCAAGGTGAAAAGCGTTTGTAAAATCAAAGTAGATTATGTACGTTAGTTCTAACCTTTATGTAGATTTGAACTTACCATGCTATAATGGATAAAACACAATCGTCATGGATTTGTTAAATAAAGATATAGCAATTCGGCAGACGTTTTGCGTTTACCACACTATACGAATATGTAGATTTGGAAACTTTTCCTTTCTAAAATCGTACGTAATCTTGTGAGATGACCCCAAATCTACAATTCAACGAATAAAATAACACGATCTTCGCATAGCGACGTCTTTACAGCCAAATCAGTAACATTAAAGAACGATGCTGCCTTGAGGACGAGGAATGTCCAATAAAACAGGTTTAATTACTGACAACGTTTAATAAATTATGAACATACATTAATAGCTGTCCCTTATTTATCGTTTATGTTATTTTTGCAACGTTGTCTCTGTTGTGTCAATGATTTGGGTGGGTACCGGTGATCCAAATTAGGCTTCTATTGCTTTAGAATTCGTTGAATGGTAACAATAGAGGTGACGTCATGCTTAAATTGTTGCCATCTGATATAAGAACAATGAAGTCATATTCGGGCTTAAATTAGCTGACCTTAAATAATGAAATTATTTTTAAGTAATAAACATCTGAATATAAACACGGTGGTATAATCCTAGTTATTGAAAAAGTATGCAATCGGAATCAAAATAACATCGAACGAGATGAAAATTACAAAAAATTCATTCATACTTCGTTCATATTTTCGCTAAGATGTATCTTTCTTAGCAGAAATGTAGATACCCAAATTTGTCCCAAGATTGTCACCGACCTTATATTTTAATCATACAAGGGATTGCTTGATCAAGAATATTATAAAATAAATAATTCAGGATGCTTCTCTGAGTAGGTATCGACAATAGGAGATATCCTCCTATTATATAAGCTATCATAAAAGGCCACGTGTAAAAATTTAATTGATAACTATCCCATTTCTTTATGGTTAGAACTTTACTTGATGGTAGGTGAAACGCCCCAACCATATAACATCTGAACAAGATGCGCCGTCAACCTAGACAGAAGCCGAACTGCTATTAAATTTAAAGGTAAAAAAACGGTGCTTCGTGAGCCGGGCGGAATATCAATATTCCTACCATCCAGTCAATTGGTTTCCACAACAAAGTCCCACCTCTTTTGGGGGTTTTTGGGCGGGTTTGGGGGGGGGGCCCCTTCGCGGTTTTGCCCCTCGGGGGGGGCCCCCCCATCCCAGAATAATTAAATTATTATTAACGTCGAGACCCGGCCCCTTAAATTTCCACAATCAAAGTCCAACATGTTTAAAAAAAATTTTTTTAAACGCTTTTTGGCCCTAGTGGGGATCGAACCTAAGGCCCGTTAATTATTATAGCTACATTGCTACCATTACACCCACGAGCCCATCTCTTAAGTTGAATAATTAAAATTTTAAAAGCAAAAAGGAACAAAACACACCTAAAAATAGATGAACTCGATTATTCATCTAGAAGGTCATTAAAACAATAGCACTCAAAATTAATTACTATCGTTACTAAAACATCGTGACTCCACAATTGTATCTCAGTGATGAAAAAAAATTAAGCTACATAATTATTAAGTATAGGCTATATATGAGTAAATCTTGTCACGATTCGATAATGATACCTAAGTTTGAAACAAAAAACGTGACAAAACCTCTCACTAAAATGTGAACGAAACCCGCAGATTTAAATGAACTTTAACAGTTTAAAAGATGAGACGAGAGAGAGACGTAAAGCATTCGAAACGTCGGGCCGGAGTTAAAAATCATTTTCAAATAGGTTTAACTAATATATCGCGTTTTAAACCGTTAAAGTGTTTTAATTAAATGTGTACTACTCGCGTAAACTATAGACAGTATGACACCCGCAGAGTTGAAGTTAGTCAATCTCTATTGGTTTATAAACAATAGTTGAATATTTATTAACTGGTGAAACGCTTCTGTTTCTGTTGGTATTCTAAAATAGCATTTATTATTTGTACATGAATACCTCAAACCATCCTTTTTTCATAAAAAAAATTACGTGTTTATGAACTGTACTTAAAACATGATAATTATTCCTTTTTCACTAAATAATCCATTCAAAGGTGAGAGAGAGATTTATTACTATTTTAACGCAGATAGAAAAGTTATTAATAAATCAATAGTTAAGTTACCTAAACTGTTAATTTACACATTAAATGTCTATAATACACATATTTTACATTATAGGTAAATTATTATAATTTTGAAAGACAATTTTTGAAACGTTCCTACGAAGCTAGACGACGATTGCTTCCTCTACTTATCTCCAACTTATTGTCGTCTTGGTCAGTTTATTTTCTATATTATTGCTATTACAGATTTAAGTAAGTACCTTTTCTGCTGTCAATCATACCTATTTATTTCCGTTTAATTTTTTATTTCCACCGTGGTTGCTCGAGAGAGCTATTTAGCTATAAAGCCGTAGTCTGTCTTTCATTTAAATATATTTTTGTGCAATGTTGTGTTTCTTGTTCTGTAATATTAGGGAATATTTGTTTTGTATTTGTAATTTTAATGTTGTCACAATAATTACTCATTCACTTATCGTCATTGATTTTTTTCTATCGTATACTTCCGTCAAAAGTCATTAGCACTTTAGTTGGGATTTTCCAAGGCCGCAACAAACAATTAGACGACCAATGAAAAGCAATTAATGGAGATGCACAAAGCGTAATTATCGAAAGCGTGTAAACACATTAACGCCATTAGAATTTTAGTCACTTAGATGAGATTTGAAAAACTAAAATTATCTTACATCCCAAAGAAACTGTTTAACGTTAAAATTGTAGGGAAATAAAGTTTCAGAGTAATCATCTGATTGTAAAATTGCTTCTACTTTGAAGCAAATGTTGAAAATACTACTACTAAAAAATGTGCCTATATGATATTATAGAGTTTTGTTATTTTAAAATAGGAACAATCTAAAATATTTATTTATGGAACTAATAAAATTACATAGTTCCAAAAATCTGTATCTTTTATTGAAACTAGATATAACTAGGCTTAACACTTATCTAAGATGTTAGGGGGCCTAACGTTTTAAGTACTTACGATTAAATAATTGTACGTTAATTACCCATCATCCTTAAAAATTAAGTTTTTAATTTATGCTCAATTAAATAAGGAATAATACTGCATGTTCAGATACGTGATAACAGATTTTTTGTGCAAATAAATCACTGATAGGTCATAATGACGAGGAAAGATCAGCTTGTTATTATCACCCTCAACTTTGAAATAACAATATTTAATACATTTGGGTAAAATGTAGCATTTGCCGTGTTTTCTTTTTTATTTGCATTTATGATTTCGTTTTTTTAGTAATACAACTCTAAAAATGTAAAACAAGGCATTGGACTCATCAGATAACGTCAAACAACTTTCAAATTATTTAATATCTGTAGTTGTAAGTCAGGTTTGATTTATTCGTTTTAATGATGTTCTATTAAGAACTAGCGGTGCCAACGACTTCGTCCGCGTAAAATAGTTATTTTTTTTGTCGACACGACATTGGTCGCGTCCAGTTGTTCTTTCGAGTAATTTTTTTAAAGATAGGCATATACTCTCGCTTACATTTTTTAGATAATTTAAAGAAGAACTATTCTTTTATACATTTTTTCTTGACCTGTTTTCGCATCACAAAGATTAATTGATTCCCCCATTTTTCCACATTTACCTACGTTGTAGTTTGGTGTTTTATAGCCTTCTTCGGTAAATGATCTAACGAAAATAATCATAATTTTTCATTTCTAACAAGTTTTACCGCGTTAAAATAAACTAACTCTTCAGCTTTATATAAAGTATAGATTCCACATTTGGCGTATCTATCTCAGATGTACAAAATCTAGTGCTGTTCTCGTGTAAGGGTTACAACACTATTATTTTGAAAATGACTATAATTTTAAACCAAAATGTGTCGGATGTCAAAGATCAAGTAAAATTTAAAAAACCGGAACTTAGACGCTGGGTCTACTACGTCCAGCGACTCTAACATTGCGTAAGTCACGTATTCACAATATTAGCCTGAATTAGCATACAGATTATCACCTCTCAAGGTTTACTATATGAGGAAATCTGAACTTTTTCAATACTAGCGTATCTTCAATGACCTTTATCGAGATTTTATTGTTTTTTAATTTGTATATCGTATTTTGAGCTGTGGTAATTGTATTCGTAGATTATTTAATACTGCGCAAGATCGAAAGGGCAAAAGATAATAAGCTTCCTAAACATCAAAAGGCTAGGCCATTTATACTATAAGTGGATACTTACTTACTTACTTTTTTGATTTTTATTTTTTTATATAAATATTTGTATAATATGTCCAATGAGATTAAAAATACGAGATTCCGAGAATCACAGACTCATTTGATTTAAGTTTTAACAAAACAAATAGAAAATGAAATGAGCCCTCAATAAGTCAATCTTCCTTTATCAATTACTTGATAAAGTTTGTTTTTTGTTTTATTAATTTTAAAGCCTTAAATTAGTTTTTCCCGTTCTTGTATATTGCATTGTATATATATGTGTGCTTCTTGGCCCATATTTTTAAAGTATGTTTATTTCTACAATACTCATGTACTTTTCCGAATAATAAGTATCTTGAAGTTAGGACCGCCGTTTATTACCCATTCTATGACGTCACACTTATCAGAAACGTCCGTTCTAATCAAAGGTTTAATATTCTGCACATTTTGCACTTGCTAACAGTTTATCTACTCAATAAAAATCTACATCAACTAGAGACATTAATTAAAACCGTTGTTTTAATGACAGTGTTACTGTCAATAGTATCATATATGAGGTCGCTAGAGGCAGAGTAGCCTAACTGCAATTTTATCACTTGACTTATTTATATTTTTATAGTCTAAAAATGTTAATCTACAAGGACTCGGGGACCGAATATTGTTAACATAATTCTTATACAAATAATAATACAAATTCATTCAGTTTATTGCGCATGTTTATTTTCCTTCTTATTGAAAATTATGTTTTTGTAATCAGACCACATATAATACTGTTTGGGTCAGATAAGGCCCAGATGTCTGATGATGAAGACGCCCCTTACCTCACATACATAGGTGTAATGAGATTCACATCTAAATTGTGGCTTTACAAATATATGAAAAAACTGGAAGTGTGCATTCATCTAGTTGCTGAAAAATAACTGTAGGAAATGGGAATACAAATCTAGACCAGCGAAGTTAAACAAATATATTTGTTTGAGTTTTGCTTTGACGAATAGTTTGTTGAATGTCAATTGATAGTCTGTTCACCATCAGAGGATATACAAAGTATAAACTTTTATTTGCAATATTTTCGAATTTATCAACCAAATAGTCATTGCGCAGGTTATACAGGAGGGAGATCAAATGTATTATTTCATTAAAGGAAAATGTGCACCTACACTGTAATGCCAGCTTAGTGGTTTTTCCTAAAGGGCTTGGGGAGAAACAACGTACACAATTTTTTGCGAGGGAAAATATATTCAGGATGATTTTAGGGGTTACACTATACGGTAGTCAAGAATTTGATTTAATTTAAAATACACATCCGTATATATTTAATGGCATGGTACCCACAAGCAAGAAAAGAAGAAATCATAAAGATGCAAAATGTTCTAAAACTGATGTTACGAAAAGAAAAAGTTAATTAAATGAAAAAACTTAGACTATAAAAGAAAAAGAAGAGAATAAAAGTCGTCTTTCTTCATTTTTATCTTCAAAGTTTTTATATATAAGAGATATTTGTATATATTTGTTTGTGTATAAATACATTTCTTATTAATTTATATTAAAAACATTTGGTGGTTTCGAATTTATATTTAGCTAATTTGAAGCTTGAAGTTGGAAAATCTGGCTAGCAGCACGATACTTTTAAATAAAACACTTCAACGGTTTCAAACGCGATATATATAAGTTAAAGTTATTTGAAAATTATTTTAAGTAAGGCTCGACGTTTCTTCGTTTCTTTGCTTTGCTTTGCTTCGGTCACGGGGAGACTGGAGAAACATCGGGCCGTAGTTATAAGAATTTTCAAATAATTTTAACTTATATATATCGCGTTTGAAACCGTTGAAGTGTTTTTTTTAAATGTGTACTACTCGCGGTAACTACAGACTTAGCGATCTGAACTATATATTTGATATATTTTATCATAAGTTTCAGTAAACGTACGGAATTACAAATTTAGTCGAATTATTCGGCCTATAAAACAATGTTTTTCCTTTGGTGTAAGTCGTTCGGAAAGACGCAAATTTTTTAGTTCAAACCTGTCATAATGATGAGGTTGAATTTTTAACACATTGCTTCTCTCCTTAATTGGTGTTAAATGGTATATTAACAAATAATTTATCAAATGGGACATTACAAATTGACGTTAGTCCCTAATTGTCTCATACAATATTGAGATATGTATTGAGGTAAGTGTGAAGCTTAATGAAATATACTATTTGGCTAGTATTTGCGAGCTAAGGCGAACGTTAAACTTGTTTTAGCTTTAATGTAAAACCAAACCAGTTTAAAAGATGGACACGAATTTCATTTTTGATGTAAAAAGCGAGTTTGCAGAAATGTTATCCAGCGACATATTGAACTCATACAAGTTTGTGTTGAGGTTTTCATATTGTCTGCTATGCGAAGAATATGTAGAGAATAACGTTATTTGCAGTCAACGTTCCCATAAAGATTCCGTTAATTACTCTATCTACGTACTGTTATCAATTATATAGAAGCGGTATTAAAAATATTGATGCACTATCTAATATACCAATAGTGATTGTTACGTTGTGTTTTCATTTTTCTTTTCATAGTTTTAATCATAGAACACAAGTGATAGATGCACACAACTGATGTATTCAATCAAAACACTTTTCACAAAACACAAGCATTCGAAAATCGGCCCGTATTAGCAATTAATTAGAAACAAGTTAACAAATATATTAGTGTTTTAAACCGTTGTAAGTGTATTATTTAATTGTGTAAAACTCGTTTAATCTACATAAATACAGCTGATCAAATATGTGTCTGTGGATATATTGGCTGTACGATAATGTAACAACAGTATAAAATTTGAGTTTCTTTTTGCCGTGTCTAATAATTAAGTATTTAAAAAAAAGTTTTTTTTACTAACGAAGCATTACACACATCATTGACTTTTTCAATTGGTACCAGTTTCCGTTATAAGTTACTGAATGCTTGCCTGGTATTAAAAAAAAAAAAAAACTTAAGTATAAAGTGTATACAACACATACATAAAAGAAAAACGCGTTTATATTATTGTATTCGGTAGACAATATATTGTTAAATAAAGTACTTGTAAGAAATAAATTGCTATCCATCCGTTCATTGATTACAAAAAACAATGCACTTAAACGCCGCTAATCTATGTTGTAAATAGTATTATCTGTTTTCTAATTACATGTATTGCAATTACACGATATGTTGTTGTCATATAATTAATAGTAATTGTCGAGATGTAATTAAAATCTTCTTCCGTATCAAAAATTTCTCACATATTTTATTAAATAATAAATTTTATTGGAATATTGAAATTCATAAATACGTTGTACAATGTTAATATTCTACACTCTAGGTATAATAAAACTTATTATAATAAATTAATTTACGAGAGCTTCTCACCTTTTAAAAAAATTAGTCCTCCACAGAATTCAAACACACCAGTTTGTTTATCCAAACATTGTTTGCTTTCGCGCGAATACCAACAAAACATTCGCTCCAGCCAAGATTAGATATTCAACTGAAGTAGCGGCGAGTGTGGACCTACAAACTGGTTTTTCTTGCTCGTACAAAAGGTCGAATATAGTAAATAAATGCAATTACTGTTATATTATTATATCGATCAACGATGAGTGTGTTATGCTATCAGAATGCAAATATTACTATCTTTGTGGTTCATAGGTATGCTTCACCGTTAAAGCTTGCATTTTATTATTTATTATATTGACTCATCCTTCTATTTGAACTAGTTCTCGTTTTTAACTTATTTAAATTAAACACTTTACCGGGTTAAAACCCGATATATTTAAGTTAAACTTGTTTGTTTCCCCGTGACCACGGCTGCTGCAAAGCATCCGAGACGTCGGGCCGTAGTTAGAAATATTTTCAAACAAGTTGAACCAAAATATATCGCGTTTTAAACTGTTAAAGTGTTTTATTTATATGTGTACTCGCGTAAACTACAGACAGTATGTTAATATTAAGTTTTAAAACATCTCCATTAGATTCCATCTTTAGATGTGAATTTCTGTACAAACTTTGATCTGCTGTTTCTGGTCTTTGAGTAAGACTAAATCTAGAATTCTAGAGAAATGACTACATAGACCAGACTCATATGCAACATAAATTTCCATAGTTGAAAGAGTCTTCAAAATATATACTATCCGTTGTGCTACTTTCAAAATGTCACACAATGAAAAATAACAAAAAAATGGTATCGTAATTATTGCTTGTAACGTTTTACCATTTAAAACAAACATCGAAATGTTCTAAAAGTACCAATATTCTAGTACTAATTTAATGTTTATAGTGTACATTGATTAATTTTCCATCTTTCAAATTAAGGGCTCTTGGGGCCTCAACTTTAAAATAAGGAATTTTATTGAAAGTATTTCATTAGTTTACAATTAATATACGGGACCAAAACCGGAAGGAATTAACCTATTGTATATATCCTCTTTAGATAAAAGTTAATAGTCACAACCGAATACCCCTTACGTCATGTTTTTATCAAGTAATCGTATATTGGATCAAGAGATTACTTAGTAAAGGGGAAAACGTTTTTCACGAAATTATGACTCGACGTCTGCGTAATTCACCGTAACTTATTAGCATGTATAAGGCAGGTGTCCCATCGCCGACATTAAATAAAATAATAGTAGAGACGAAAAACAATACAATATATTTTTGGACAGATCGTCGATTCAGTTAAAAAGCCATCAAATTCAATCGGGTTTCGGTATCACTCTGTGGATTCCAGAATATCCAAAGACAAAACTAGGTCGACAGCATACCTTGTTTAGATGTTATGTCTTTCGTTTATCATGAGTGATGCTTGTTCTCCACTATTATATATGAGCGATCTTTTTTTTTGACGCTTAAAAGAGTGGAACGTCAAACAGGTGAGTTGGTCACTGTGCAGATTGCACGAAGGACTTCTTAATATATGCATTTTTTTATTTACTCGATTATAATACGTATACGCAATATCGGTGGCACGCTTCGTAACAAAAAGTAGTTTTCTCTCTGGCGGTTGGACACTTGCCTTACACAAAAACTATAGTCAGCGTAGCTAAAATGTCATTTTACGGTAGTTTAAATACCTTAGGTGACAAGGTTAATGACATCATTTAACACTGAATTGTTGTTTTTGTTGAATAAAGACACAAAGCTACTAACATTTTTACTTATACGTTGTTGTACTGTACACTACATTGTACGTAATGATAACATACTTATTGACAAAAGCACAAATTAAGTACTGTACACAGTTTAGCGAGTAGTACACATTTAAATAAAACCCTTTTAACTGTTTAAAACGCGGAGCGTATTATTAGACTTATTTACAAATTATTTTAATTACGATCCCGCGTGTAACTAATAAAAGTGTTTAATAAAACTGTTCTGTTATCTCTTGCCATTGCAAAAAGGCAATTTGTCCACCACACAATTGTTTGAAATCGAGGATTTGGGGCCAACCTTAACTGTAGTTCGTCCCTGGCGTTGTCAAACCAGATATGCTTTCATTTGCTTTCTTTTGCAAAGCACGTATTAAGCGGCTATGTGAGTCACAGGCTATAGAACTGAAAGGAAAAAAAATGAAACCATTAACGAGAGGACGTTACGAATGAGTTTTAGACTTTGATCGTTGGTTTTTCCAGAGTTCAACGACTAAGGCATAGTAGTTCAGAGAAACAGTAAATTTAAATGTCGCTCAAACTTTTAAAATACCTACATTGGTGTATTTGTTTGTGTATAATATATATAAATGTTTCAGAGATAACCTAGAACAAACATACAAATAAAAGTATAATAAGTAGGTTTGTTTTATGACGCATACAAATAAACTGAATATAATAGTTTCGACCTATTAACCTTTAGTCCTTCTGCAGGGCACACTTCTCCTTTCTCTCAGTCAAGTCTAGAATCATTTATAAACATAAGTAACTACAAACTAAAGGTACACTTAAAACGTTCATACCAATTAAAACTAACGACTCTAAATTTACAAATGCTGCCAGTAGTCAAATCGAGGATCAAAATCGATTTTTTTGGAGGGCCAATGGAAAATTGGAGCTAATGACAACTCCTGTTACCAAACTAGGATTCCATAATTTTTCCTGGAAAATGTTCAAATACTAATCTATAAATTAGCTCGACCAGATTCAAATCATGATACTAAACACTGGACACTACTACAGCACAAGACACAGACAGAGCAGTAATTTATAAATCTCGAATACAGTTATTAATTGTCAACACTAAATAAAGAGAATTCATTACGTCCAAAACAAAAACTCTAAAACCCTTATCAAGAAACTAAAGCAATTTACTCGACATTAATTCTGCTCTTGACAGCCTAAATACTAAAATTTCTCCCCGAGGGAATTGTTTAGCTCACATCCAATTTTTAAAGAAATTTAATGTATTTTTCTTTCGATTTTCGATTTAGTCGAAAGAGAAATGCTTTGTAGCTGCCTTACAAATAAACAACATTCACAGCTTATAATGTATTGCGGTCTTGCATTCGTTTCCAAGTCTGTATAACGAAATGCGACCCTTGTCAAATACTACTTGCTACGTACTAGCTGTGTCAGCAATTTCGTCCGCGTAGAATAGTTATTATGAGCGTCAAAATTGACCACAACCCACGACGTCGGTCGCATCTCGTCGTTCTTGCAAGTTAATCTTACCACAAAGGTGAACAATTTTATCCGTTTTCTCCACATTTCCCGTTTTTTCTTCGCTCCTATTAGTCTCATCGCGATGTTTTATAGCCTATAAGCTTCTTAGATACATGCTCTAATCTACACGAATATTTTTTTCTATTCCGACCAGTAGTTCTTGAGATTAACGCGTTCAAACAAACAAACCTTTCAGCTTTATTTATTAGTATATAAGTATAGATACGACAAGCCTATTCTAGGTTTGCGAGTAAACTTGTTTAACTTAGAAAACGTAAAACGTCAATGTTAATATTTATGTAATCGTTTCTCAATGTCGTGTATGAGGAAAATCTAGGAATACTTTTAACGTCACGTTTCCGTACTACAACTGTCATCTACGTCCTACGAATTCTTGTTCGTGAATGAAGTGTGCTATAAAAATTGTTGCCATGGGTTAGATTTTGGTATAGCGTACAATGGCCACGACCCACGTAATAAGTCGTTAAAGTCTAAAATGGCCTGTCAAAGAGAAATTTGATTAGAAATGTAATATGAATGAATGAATACTTATCTCAAATAATTGATACAATTATTTCATGTATGTACTACTTCTAAGTGTTAAGTTTGATGGGGGGGGGGGGGCGGGGGGGGGGATTTTTTTCGGCCACCGCGGGGGCTTGTGGGGGGGGGCGCCCGCCCGGGGCCCGGGGGGTCTGTGTGGGGGGTTTTTTTTTTTTTTGGGTTTTTTTTTTTTTTTTTTTTTTTTTTTTTTTTTTTTTTTTTTTTGGGGGGGGGGTTTTTTTTCCCCCCCGGGGGGGGGGGGGGGGGGGGGGGGGGGGGGGGGGTTTGTTTGGGCCCCCCCCCCCCCCCCCCCCCCCCCCCCCCCCGCGGGGGGGGGGGGGGGGGGGGGGGGGGGCCCCCCCCCCCCCTTACTACATACTTAATTTATTAAAAATATCGACTTTTATGTAATGTTCTTTACAATTTAAACACAAAATTGCAACGGACTTTGTGTTTGTTATTTGTAGTTACCGGTGAACGAAAAGCAGATGGTTCACGTGCTTCAACTATGTAACAATGTTTATAATACTAAGAAGAAAAATACCTTTCAGTATAAATTATCATAATGAACTATTTCTGTAAGCGCTTCAACAGCAATCTGTGCATCTGTTCTCTGTTACGCCAAGGTTTGCGCGCTCCAAATGATTTGTGATAAATTAATTGCGTAATTTTAGCATTGACGTCTTATGTTCCCACGGGAGTGATTCCCATCGCGCAGTAGATAATTGGTATTCCCAGACAGATGTGTAATACACATCATTGCTAATATAACTGTCTTTTGTGACTATAATACTTAAGTCAGTTCGGCCGTTAGCGGGTGTGTTGATTTTAACTAAAAACTAGTGTTGATTTTGCTTATTTTAAATTTTATTCAAGTGTAACGTGCGTTGTCTTTGGGGTGTCGTTTGTAGTAAATATCTGTTTTTTTTTCAATGTCAAACATCAATTTATAATCAAATATGAGAAGTTTTCACTAATAGAGTTGTAAAATGCAATTATCATAAGTAAATCATAAATATCAAATTTAAAACCTTTTAAATAAAACACTTTAATGGTTTAAAACACGTATATATATCAGTTAAACTTATTTTAAAATTATTTTTAACTTCGGCCCGACGTTTCGGATGCTTTGCACTCAAGTCAATCATAGTCCAACTCCTCATCCATCGATACATTTCTTCTCGCGCAATGTGATTTCAAAAAAAACGTATTTATTGAACCTAATAGTAAAGATAATATTTAATGTGATATGAGACTTTTTGTGTCATGTTTTATATAAGACTAGCTGTGCTCGCGGCTTTATCCGCGTGTCATAGTTCCACACAATGTCGTCCGCGTCCCGTCTTTCTAGCGGGTTAATCTTAAAAGATAGATAATACATATATGCCGTCGTGTAATTTAATGTTTTTTTTAGATGCATTAATCAATAACCACTCTTTTAGACATATTTTTCGGTATGGTTGGTTACCATTTACGAATTTCAACCAATGAATAAGTTTCCCCTTTTTTCACATTTCCTTTTGTTTATTCACTTCTATTGGTCGCAACCTGATGTTCTATAAAAGGCTTCCTCGAAAAATAACACAACCAACATGGATCGTTTGAATTCGAACATTAGTGCGTTCATACAAACAAACAAACGTTATAATAGTAGTTAGATATTGTAGTATGAGATGAAGTGACAAAACCAACAGTGACGCTCTAATGGCAATTATTTTCAGGTAACATTGTTCAGTGCCCTCATTTGTTTAAACAGGCTTCGGTTACCTCGTGTGGAAGGCCATCTCCATCATTTACGATGCTATCTATGAAGCGATGATGTAAGGCAATTGTTTGACTAATATTAAATGTGCTACATATTTAGTGCAAATGATAGCACGTACGTTTAAAGGAAAGAATAATACGTCTATACAACAACGGAAAGCTTTGTCACTCTGGCTGTATACAATTGAATTTATGAAATTTAAAAAAAAATCTTTTTAAATTAAAATAGCAACTTTTAATAGTCTTTATTTAATAATAAGTCAAATGATTTTTTTATAGAAATCTAGTTTCTAATAGTTATCTGTGATTAATTTCGTTGAAAGTATGGTTTTGAGGGTGAGTGGGTAAACATTTTCAATAATAATAAAATAAAAAATCTAATATGATGTGTAAAAAAATACTGTCTGTCTCCCCGTGATCAGGGCTCCTGCAAAGCATCCGAAACTTCGGGCCGTAGTTGTATTCTAATAAGTTTAACTAATATATCGCGTTGTAAACCGGTAAAGTGTTTTATTTAAATGTGTACTACTCTCGTAAACTATAGACGTTAAAGTGTGGTCTTAAATGATGTATAAAATTCCTATTTGTCTTTAAGGGCATTATCCAGTCAAAAATATTAATCTTTACAATGACCTAGACTCTGGGCGTGAGCTGGCAAACAAAACAATGTATCATTGTACAAACATTGTTACACATATATCGTTATAATGTCATTACAGATAAGTACCCAGGTGATAACACTTGGTATGAAAGCCATAATTCGCCTTCCAAATCATTTTAATCCATTAGTTGTTTCATTTTAATATAAAGTACTAAATTTTACTTAAGTCTGTTGTGTTTATGTAATGTGTTTGCAGTATTCTTAAGTAACGAAGATGATTTGTAGTTCCAGCTGTTTTCTAACTTATCCGATATCCGAGCACACGGATAACAGCAAACAGACAATTTTTTAATCTGTTTATCATGTTTAGCTTTGCATTTTTTTTTTGCTATTAAGTACTTAATTACTACATATGATAAAACAAAGTCGCTTTTTCTGTCCCAAGTGCGCTTAAATCTTTAAAACTAGGCAACAGATTTTGATGCGGTTTTTTGATAGACAGAGTGATTCAAGAGAAAGGTTTTTATATACAACGTTTGAATTTTTTCTGTAGAGTATATAGTATCAACATTGCACCCGAGCGAAGCCGTTATTAATGAAATATTTAAAACATATAATAGAACTAATCTTAAGGCTTATATACGTCTCTGTAGGTATGTATCTCGTCATCTTTAAACGCACTATTTCTCCCTAAAATTATTAACGTAAAATTTATTTCATATTATTATTAAGTCTCGTGAAAGTTTCGAATGAATATCGCATGACCACAACAATCATGACTATACAAGGATTCTTTTGAAAGCTAATTATAAGTGATGGGGACTTAAGATTTGTTGACGCGTTTTTTATTATTGAAATAAAACGTCTGTAGACGCTACTAGCACTACAAGTGAAACTATTAAAAAGGTAAAAGCAGTATATAATCTAGATCCACTAGGCCTCGACGCGCAAGCAGCTACAAACCGCATCCCAAAGTAGATCTTTGCGAAACGTAACGGCATCCCATTTATAAGGCCTTGTACTGTTAGTTTAGGCGAGAGAAGTCCCGTTTTCCCGACGTGAAGCATAGGGCGAATACATATATCTGTTCATAGGCATCTGCTTATGGGGTTCTTTGGTATCCAACTTGGGACTCCTCGCGCTGATATATAAGTTACTAGTTATAAGAAACAGGTAAAGAAGTTGCCAAATAAATATACGCAAAATAATGTTTTATTTTGTTTATTTTATTACCGTAAATGAAAGAGCGGAAGTTGTTAAGCGAACAAATGTTTATTTAGATAATTAACTAAGGAATGATTTTTATTCTTAAAGTAGTAAGATTTTCGCTGGATGTAGCAGTAGGCGAACTATGAGTATGATTTTGACTAAAATCTGTGCATCAATAATTCCTTATAGAAATACATGTTTACCTCACAAATGTTGTTGTTGTCAACCACTTTTTGTCTCAGGTATATTTTTTCCACGAAGTTTGGCATATCATAATTCTACTTGAAGAATTTCTATTACTGGGTATAGTGCTTTCTACATTTGAAAAAGTCTAGGATTCGATCGGTTGTCTAATAATTCTGTAATGGCGAACGACCGGACAACAAGATAAATGTAAGAAAGTAAAAGAATTTCAGCGAATTAAAAAGCTATAAATAAACAATTACGAATCTTAAAAAAAACAAAATATATGTTGCCACACACCCGTAAATCAAATGTCAAACCCAAATATTTGTCTTTCAATTGTTATCGTTTTTTAATTGTTAACTTTTCCCAAGCCAAAGTTTTATTGCACGTGGAATAGGGCATTCACCTTTTGAGCAAATACCCCTACGACCACAGTGTCAATTGTTTTTATAGCTTAAACCAATTGTGTCTTTGAAGATTGAAAATAAATAGATTTTAGTGTTAGAATAATTTATTTTATTTGACTAGGATTCGTATGTTTTTGACTTGACATTTCACATAAGTAACAAATCGTCGAGTTTGATCTCTTACATCAAAATAGTCTTAACATATCCGTAAAAGTAATATATATATATATATATTTATTAAACATCGAAACTTAAATTTACATATAATAATAAATTTTAAAATTATCTCAAGATTATATTTGATGCGTAGTTTATAAACACATTTAACTGTACCTGGAGTTAATTTCGCCTTATTGAATTTAAACAAAACACATACATATGTGTTGACTTAATTATTCTCGTACCTCATAATTTTTTTAAACCATAGTCTTATTAAAAGACGTACTGACAAAAAGCTACACGAACTCAAAATATAACAACAGTAAACTTACTCCTAATGCATACCTTTTATCACAAAAATGATACAAATTATAAATGCACTTCCCTAAACTATTAACATTTACTATTCGACAATCGCACAATAGAATATTAGGAATATACTGTTTCAAAATACTGGAGAAGCAGGACAAATAGACAAAAGTTCAATCTTTTTAACTCAACGGGGTATTTATATGGTAATTTATTTTTCAACGAAGCTCAGAATTCGTTAAAATTTCCCTTTGTTAGAATACTCGGCTACATAGGCATCGATGACTTGTTGCAATACTTTTGGATGGCATACAAAAACAGATCTTGATGTTTCAACACATCCATATTTAGTAAAGCATTCCGTTCTTTCGGATTCTGGTCTATTACAACATATTAACATTGCTGCCGGGCATACTCCACGGCTGGCGATTGGTGCCTTGGTCGTAACCTGAAATTTGAAAGACCCTTGATGAAGCCCATATCAATTGACAAATTCAGAAGAATAACAAGTTGTGCGTATAATAAAGAAAGAAAAATAAGTTACTAAAATGAAATGTGGGTATCAGAGTCTTCAAAATGGATGTCGAGAAGTTTTATATTTTTGAAATCAATTTTTAATTTTACCTACCTCAGCTTGTACTGTACCATGTTCTACAGGTCGTTTTGGGATTGTGCGACTTGGTTTAACAGGCTTTAACAAAATAGGCCGATTTCCATCGTTATCGTCAACGGTTCCCCATATCCTTTCCTGTTCAATGTCTGTGTCATCACCGAAACGAGTCCCATTATCTAGATCAGCCAGATGTTGTAGCTGTGTGACTTTCGCTTCTAATTCGGCAATTCTTTGCTCTAGCTTACTACTACTACTGTTTTGCGGTTTTTGCTTACGAAACAATAGTTCTTCTTGTATTAATGTAATCCTCTTATCTAATTCAGCGATTGCGTCATCTTGCTTCCTGTCATATGTACTAGGATAGTAGTTCCAAGGTCGTCGATCGTAGTTCGCCTGCGAAAGACCTCCCGGTGGTCTTCCAAATATATAACCAATGTTATCGTAGGCTGAAGACAACTGTCGTTCATTAAGTAATATTTCTTCGTGTAAGGATGTAAGCGTCTGGCCTAGGATAGAAATTTGTTCGTCTTGATTTCTGTCATACGAGCTCGGCGAGTAATCTCGATCGAAGGACCATCTTGCGTATTGTCTTTTATGGCGTCTATGGTCAGAAGGCGAGTCTTTCTCGTTTTGCTCGATATCAGTGTTTTCATTTAGTTTCATATTCGACTCTAGTATTCTTCCAGCATTCGTTACTAATACGAATGAGAGGCCAAAGAGCAATAACATCAGCTTCATCTATAACAATAAATATTATTAGCAATACATTTTGCATCAGGATATTTCTTTCAGGCTAAAGGTTTATCGATATATTAATGTTATGTATATTTTATTATTTAATGGTTTATTATCTATATCGTTATAGTAGAAAAAAATGTTTATTTAAATCGGTATGCTATTGAAAACAGCCATTCAAATTTATTATTACTACTAGGACCACGATAAAAAGAGTTTGTTAGTTTCAATCATAATTAAAAAAAAGATTAAATAAACAACAACATTGTGATGTTAAAAAAAATCTACTATTTATAAGTAGATGATAGTATAAAGTCACCTGAACTACACTTTTATTACAGTTTATTTACCCCTTAAATTTTCGATTTAACTTCACATTTACATATCTCAATCGTTTGTATTTGACATTGTATATTAGCATTACTCAAGCTAGATGGCGCTACTTTCAGATTTTTTGGAACCGTACTTATTAGTATACTAGTGTTATATTCGATATTATACGGACTGCTTTACTATATCTGATCGAAAATGCCGCATACCGTCCCTTGTTATAAACTTAACTCAAAGCGGTTTTCCGAATTAAAGTATTTTTATACAAAACATATTTGAAGTTATCACTGAAAAAATTCAAGTTTATAATTAGATTCATTATCGATACTACAGCAGTTTCTTGCACATTTAACATTTTTGACATACCTTGAATAAAACACTTAATAATTTACTTCGTAAAATGTCACTGCACTGTTGTCTAATATTATTTAAATACTGAAAACTCGACTGTCACTTTTTTCACTTATTGTTATTTCTTTTAAAAATAGCACGTGTTTATCTCAGCGCAATCTATGGTCGACTGGTTTGAAATATACTTGGTTGCTAATATATACGCACGCTTTTGTATGTGTACAAAGTATAGCACAGCACTCGGCTATCAGTTTTTGAGTAATTTTTCAAGTGCTGATTGATATTATCGCGTCATACAAGTAAGTAATAGACATGTAATTTTTCTTCTGGATATATTTTGGGGTAAACCTATTTTATATCAATTTTGTTGTTGTAAACATGCAAAATATCGTCTTAGATTTACTTTTAAATCTTTTATGACTTATTAGTATAGTGTTATAGAAGAACATATATTTATGCCTTTTTCCATGCTTTAAGTTTCATCTTCGGTAATTTTTTTTCGAAAAAAAAAATGGCACAATATTATCCACCTACTAATGTCAATACATAAAAAAACAGACCGAATACATGATGTTACATCATGAATTTGTAAAATAATATTTATAATATAAACAGAGAAAAAAATAATCATAATTAAAATATATATAAAATACACTACAGCTCTACAATTCGCTTGATATAGATATTATATTTTCCAAAAGACGATTCGTTCGATTGATAAATATTTTATTATTACGAAGCTTTATTTTAAAGGTTAATTGTTCTAATTTAGCAGATACATTATTCAAAGGAAAACATCAACGGCAAAGTGAAATAATCATTAATTATATTATAAAATACTTATTAAAAAAAATTAAGTGAGTTTAGCTCTATTGTATGCGCACTGCCATTTTTTAGATTGTATACAGGTATAACATTATAAAAGAATTATACTATCGAAATAAAATGAGATGTAAATTTATCCACCACATTGCGTTTCAATTCGATATCTTGAATACTGTCTGTAGTTTACGCGAGTAGTACACATTTAAATAAAACACTTTAACGGTTTGAAACGTTTAAATAAAACACTTTAACGGTTTAAAACGCGATATATTAGTTAAACTTATTTGAAAATGATTTTTAACTTCGGCCCGACGTTTCGGATGCTTTGCAGCAGCCGTGGTCACGGGGAGACTGGTGTCTCCCAAATAAATCATTTTCAAATAAGTTTAACTAATATATCGCGTTTTAAACCGTTAAAGTGTTTTATTTAAATGTGTACTACTCGCGTAAACTATAGACGGTTTGAAACGCGATATATATTAGATTTGAACTTTGACTTCCTACATCAAACGTCGGGCCGAAGTTATACATAATTTTCAAATAAGTTTAACAAATATATATCGCGTTTTAAACCGTTAAAGTGTTTTATTGAAATCGATATCTTGATTCAAATCGTTTCAGTCGAACAGGGCACAGGAGACTAACGACCTGTTATTCTGTAAATACTTAAAGAGATAACCAGAGAAGCAAACCTTGTATACGGGGTAGGAGATGCTATATTTTTGTTAAATGTATTTTGTATATCGCTTCATGGCACAAACCATTTATCAAATATCACGGTACACTGGAGAGAATCATTACTAAGATTTATGAAGAGCAGCAGGTACATATAATATGCACTATTATTATGAGAAATATGTGACTTATAATGATCTTATTTAAAATAAAAACTTGTGTTTTATTTGACCTAAACAATGTTATATCTCCTTATAGTTGAAAATGTATCTATCTATTGGGATGAAGATAATTATGTTTTACAATGAAACAAAAAATTACCGTTTAAGATAAAAAGCTATGGAGGTCTTTTAACGTATTTACTATAAATAACAAGAATATTTCACAAAAGTAACTGCACAGACACGAAAAGAGAAAATCAAAAGTTTAAATGCGTTCCCCGATGTCGCAACATTTTGACTGAGATTAGGTAGTGTAAGCGGACAAACAGACAGACAAACCGGCGAACTCAAATATTCTATCGTAGATTTATAAAAGTCACTTTCAGTGACGGTTAAATGATGTCATTGAACCAATCCCAAGATACTTTTTGCTCTTACCTTTTTGTCGCAAATATTATTACCTCAGTAAAATAATATTAATACTATATTCTTATTGAATAAGGATAAATATTTAAAATAAAGTCGACATTCAACTGTTTGTTTAATTGTAGACTAGACTGGCAAATCAGCTAGTCTTAAGACTACGACTTAAAAGAAATGTATTGATAAATAACAATTTAGTAAAGTCTAGTAATATATATTTTCATTAATAGTTTTTAATCGGGCCTCTTGCTTCACGATCACAGCGCGCCGTGCTATTACAGGTTCGGGTCCCTTCTGTTGTATGAACTTTTTACTTAGAAATTAATTATAATGATTAAAATATATATATTTCTATTCTTAACGTACCATATAATGATTATTTTAGTATTAGCCATTAGTTTGAAAAGAGATCAAGTTTGGAAAACGTGTCCATCGTTCTTACGAGTAAAATAAATGCGAAAGTTTTGTTGACGTTTGTCCTAATGTCACAAGAAACTTCGAAACGGCTTTTGATGAGACTTGGGGGTAATTTTCTCGAATTTAATAAGTACTATCACCTGTTAAATAATTGAGACTGTTTCTTCCTCTTCCTCGACCTTCAAAAGTTTAACAGCTTCTCCCGAAAGCGCACGTCATTGACCTGTTTCCGCTTTCCACTGTACTGCGTCTATCGGCATAGTTTTACAGAAATAGATATTACGCGTATTTATTAGCAATGTTGAAATGAAAGGAAAACTATTTTTGTATATGTAAAGGTAGGCTAAGAAATTTATAATCGTTACAGCAAGTTTTGTAGAATATTGTAATAGTTGTTAAATTCTTAGATAACAAATAGTATCTAATTTTTATTTCGTTTAAATATTACTTATCTAGCCAAAATTACCTTTAACCGATGTCCGTAATAGAAAATAATAATAATGCCCCTCGTGGGGCATGGGGTGAACACATTTATGTATTCGTTTCACTGATCAATTTTTATTTACAGGCAAGTAGTTTATCATAGGTGTCTGAGCCCTGCCCAAAAAAAATGTTTGTTCCCCGGGATTCGAATGCAGGACTTCTCGCGCTTAACCCAATGCTGGGCAAAACGTTTAACCAATTAGCTACAGTGTCGGTCCCTAATCAAGTGAGCTTCTGTATTATTATTATTTATTTAATAAAAATAACTTTTAATTTATATGATGCCAACATGTGGAAAATATCAAAGTTTTCATGAGTTACGTCATCTCGCATTAAATATGCCTCAAGTGAAATAGGCGCGGTCGTTATAAACGCCAGAAGCCGATATTTTCAATAGAACGTTTATTTTAATTGCCTTTGTGACTTTAATTGTCTATGCTTAGAATAAATACCTTAGATGTTTGAAGCTTGACGTGTAGACAATTTTGATTATTGTTAATTGTTTGTGTTCATTTTCATAACGTTATTGGTAGAGTTAAATACTGTCTATAGTTTACGCGAGTAGTACACATTTAAATAAAACACTTAACGGTCAAAAGCGATATACTATGAAATTTGGCCCGGCGTTTCGGGTGTTTTGCGGGGGGCGGGGGCGGGGGGGGGAAAGGGGGGGGGGGCCCCGGGGGGGGGGGGGGGGGGGGGGGGGGGGAAATCTTTTATATTTAAAGAGTTTTCTTATTTAAGTTTATTTGTTTACGATAATACAAGTAACTATTCTATAGCCTCTAGTAGAAAACTAAACTCTATAATCTATCTCCATTTGGCTGTTTGACAAGGAAATGTTATTATACACCATCCAATCACATGACATTTCTGGTATCGACAACAAATTTCCCAAAACAAAAATGATTTCAGCGCAATGAAATTTGACTGTGTTTCAGCGACAACGATTGTTTGTGTCGAATGACGTTTACACTTGATCATGGACGTACGCGATTTAACTCATGTGTATATAGACAAAAAAATTAAAATTTATTTTCCAAAAGACTTGTCTAATATTTATAAATTATTTTAATGAAATTAATATATGGACTGCTGCATATAATTTTTCCCACTTGCAAACATCAAATCAAGGTTAAATTTATCTTTATTTACTCATATAATTAAAAATCGTGTATATGCTGACAACCGGAAGTGTTATTTCAAATCAGTACATGTAACGCGTTCTATTGATAAAACATGAAACAACACCGCGTCTATGTGCATGCATTGCCAATAGAGTACAAATGTACTATTGCGAGGATTAAAATAGAAAACAAATTCTTTTATTTTTTATCCTCTTGAGCGATTGCCAAATCGTCACAACTTTTGAGCGAATTGGACATGATTTATTTTTAATGATTATACATTCAAATTCTGTTAGACTTTCGGTGTCTGTTTGAAAAATAGATTGTTTACAGGCAAGTATGTTGTTAAAGAGACTTCTTTGCCTACTTAAAACATTATGGACATCAAGGACGCCCTCCATTTTAGTCTCACGTAACTAAAGCATCTGAAACGTCGGACCGTGGTTAAGTTATATTGTTTATTTTTTTTATAATATAGTAGGAGAGAGTATAATAGCATGGTATTCACTTGGCAGGTGAAATACCCCGGCCATAAAACATCTAAGCATGATGCGTTGTTGACTTTTTTAGGCTTTGGATATTCGGAAATCCACAAATTGAAATTGAAACGCGATTAAACTTGGCTATATTTGTGAATATATTAACTTTCAGTTTTAAACCGTTTAACTAAATGCAGGCGAAGATATTTAACGGGATCATAATAATCCACGGAGACAAATTTCTTGGAAAATTATTTATTTCTTACCAAATATAGAATCTTTAATCATATGCTTCATAGTGGTACAAATTACGATATTCTTCGATCGTTTCTCTAAATAGACGGCGATAGAAAATTGAGAGCCGCGTTAGCATACCGTAGGTATATTGCTTACATAGTGTTCTCTTCGTGGGGTCAATGTCAATATATTGTCAATAATTCGATCCGCAGTCTTGCACCAAAATCTTAGTTTACATTCTAAGAGACATTGTAGAAACCAAAAATTCGAAGCCATTTATCATCTGCCAGCACGTTTTTTGTCAGCCTGGTACATAAAGTCTGATGATAAAGTTTTTTTTAAATCATAAATGTATTAATGCAGCACCATAGCTTGAACTACTACTATATATACTTATTAATAGTTTCAAACTGTCTTGGATCTATTATTTACACTTAAAGATCACTTACCATCTAACCCTGGCAGATCAATCAAATGACATCATTAGTAAAACATGTTGTTAAATATATTTGGGTTCATTGACCTTTGGAAGGTTTCGTTTTACTATTTTGTACAATTATATAACAATGTAAACATTTTTATATTGATCAATACTTAGCACTATATATAACATGAATAGTCAAAAAGCATCGCGGTTTTACTTGACGAATTTAGTAAAAGAAAATATAGCCATATCTATCTTGTAAATAGAACATTTTAACAGTTTAAAACAAGATCCATCATTGTAAAAAAGCATCCAAAAGTATTTAAAATAATTTCCAAATCAGTTTACCTAATACATATCGCTTTTTAACCGTTGAAGTGTTTTATTTGTATGTTACTCGCGTAAACTACAGACAGCCTCCCTATCTTACTAATACGTGTAAGTACTGTTTTGCTTAATGAAAGAGTTGTATAGGTATGTGACAACTGTAGTAAAACATCCGAAACCTTGAGTCATAGCTAAATATTATGTAAATTATAATTTAATGTTTACCACTTTCGTTAAATACAGACCTTGCTTTACCAATTCAAAAGCGTCTTAAACTAAAGTTTTCTGTTCTCATTGATGACATAATAGCGACTTTCAATTGTCCAAAAATAAAGATGACACCCCATAGTCCATAATTTAAGCATAACGCTTTGTCACTAACGAATGAGAACAGTTGAACTCCATAAAAAGGTTAATTAATCATAAAGCGAACAGTAATTGTTATTTAATACACGCTATACAAATTCATTACTATCCAACCACCGTCTGTAATCTGCTGCTGCAAAGCATCCGAAACGTCGGACCTTAGTTTAAAATCAATTTTTAAATATATTTCGCGTTTATAAACCGTTAAAATGTTTTATTTAAATTTAACCACCGTTCAATTAATAAAGTCATATATAAAAAGCCTAAAGGCATAAAGAACAAACATTGGTAACTGTTTTTTTTATGTATTCTGTGACATCTTAAGGGGATGTAACTTTTAAGGTTAACTAGATCAACATTTGAATGGAACTCTATTTAACATTTAAAACAAATGAAAACAGTACTGTACTTTAATACTATTTATACGCAACTCGGACAATTAGGAATGACGTCAAATATAGCTCACGGGTTCTTGGTCAGGCCGTAAAATGAAATCTCAACAGTCTCAGATTTCAGTCTAGACGTTAATTAAAAAAAGGATTGATTTGTGCGTCTGGGCGCAGATGGGATCGAGTGTGGCGTTACAACATATTAATTATATTTCATGGCAGGATCCTTGCTATAAACAATGCATTCATAACAAATTAATAATTTTTCTAAAAATCCTCTTGGGGTATGAATATTGAAATTTCGCACAAATAGAAAATTTG